TGTGTGTCTCTCTCTGTCCACACCGTATTCTGTCTTTCTGTTCTATCTTTACTTTCTCGCTCCTGCTCTCCTCCTCCTCCTCGCTCCTCGTCTCGTCTCAGTAAGTAGGATAAGGCTTGGAGAGCTCTGTCGTCGTGGTAACTGCCAGAAGTATTCAGTTTGAAGTTTGAGGAGGTCAGTTTGTGGGTCACACACACACACACACACACACACACACACACACACACACACACACACACACACACACACACACACACACACACACACACACAGGACCTGAGAGAAAGTATGGGCCCTGGCCCTTATACAAGAGGGGTTGAAAAGGGGGAATAGATGTTTTTTGAGGGGCAGGGACCTCTGCAAAGCCCTNCGGAGGTTCCCCGCCCCTCATATAGATAAATGGATAGATGTAATTTCATTGATGCTAGATTTGGATTTTGCAAAGGCAAAATGGTAATCCAGGCATTGCACAACAATACATAAATAAAAGATACACGGTCATTTTAAAACCCATTTATTTTTGTTTTAAAGGATTTTACAACATGTGTAGGAAGTTGAAATATCAGAAATATTTTTCAAGCTGTTTACATAAAGAAATTATCTTCACATCGACAATCAGCATAAACACAAAAAACTAATCATATGGAAATGGAGATGAATGTGAGCAGAGCCAACATTTCCGTTATAAATTCTAATCACAGTTGAAACTGGAAGTTTCTCTATAATATCAAAAGGCAGGTCTGAGTATTAGAAAGATAACATGAACTGTGTCCTGACCGTTTGGACCAGCGGTAACACATCCGGCTGCGCCCGCAGCAGTTCAGCCCGGGGATCCGATGTCCGCCAGATCTCTTCAGCACCATTCCTTCTCTGAAAGATAAAACAAACTCTAAATGTGTGGAAAACAAAGCACCATATAAGGCTTTAGATATCGCAGTTCACTGCATTCTAGAATTGGTTGGTAAATGCTTAATAAAACGGTTTTGATTGATATCCACATTTGAGTTGAAGGAAATCTGCAATTGTTTTAATTATTTTTTTATATTTACTTAGATATTTTTGTTATTAGTTTGTTTCTTAACTATTGCACTATTTTGCCTGTATCTTTATTTAATTTATTATATGTACAAAACAAAGCAAGCAAAGTTCCTGCATGAGAACAGGACAAAAAACGTAACAAATAATAGTAATAATACATTTAATTGATAGGACACTTTTCTAAGTACTCAGAAACGCTTTTTCTGATTATTTTCTATAAATAAATGTTTCAGAACCATATATTACAATTTTCTCGAAACCAGTCACATTAAACTAGTATTGAGTAAAAAGTTCTGTCCGAAACAGCAGGACTAACTTGTTTTTGAGGTTCACAAATTAAATACCAAAAGTTATTTATTAACATTTTTGACATGGTGTCGTTCTTACAAGCCTTTTGGTCCCAGATCATGGATGAAGGACAACTGGCTGACGTCAATGAACTCCATCTGAAATAAATAAATCACTGTTTCTATTACAACATTCATCAACATATTTTCCCAAAATATTTTGTAATTTAAGATAAAAGAACCCTTTTTCTAACTCCAAATGCTCATTACCGTTGCGTGGTAGTTCCTGTACATCGGCTTCTTTAGCAGATTATTCAAGTAATCTTCCAGTTGTTTCTGCAACACATAACAGAGACTTCAGCAAGATAATAAAGTATTCAGGAGGGACTTTGATTGACAGTAGAGTCTCAGGTGGAGGGCGTACCCTTCGGCTGGAGACCTGGTCCTCCCTCTCCAGATCGTCTCCTCCCACTCGGGGGAGGTTCGGCATCTGCTCCCCCTCGCTCATTGTGACCGCCTGCCTCTTCACCGTGTTGCTGCAGAGAAACATTTTAAATACCAGAATAAAAAAATGTCGAAGAAAGAACCAAAGATGAGTTCTATACATAAACTTGCGTTATTCCAGAAGGGGAGAACGCAGACCTGCGTTTGGGCAGCGGCAGCCTCATGAAGGTTTTGTACGTCCGCAGCTCTCTGTGCAGATCCATGAAGTGTTTCTCCTTCCTCTTCACCAGCCACGTGAACTCCCCGTGCTTCATCTCGATCTTAAACACCGCCGGCAGCGACTGATCAACACAGACACATTTAATACATTTTAAAAGAGGTTATCTCGTTTTGATAAGATTTGAAAAACGAACCAAAGGATGTTGATAATTGCTAGCAACTTTTCTAACTTTAGCAACTTTACAAACTCTATTTGCAGCTTTAATGAAGCAGAGTCTTTTTTACTGCTTGAAGAAAATGATAAATTCATGATATTCTATAAGAGCATTACATTACATGTCACTTGTTAGACGCTTTTATCCAAAGTGACTTGCATACTGAATACTGTGGACAATCCCCACAGGAGCAATTTGGGGTGAAGTGTCTCAGGGACACAACGACATGCTGGCTGCAGTGGGGTTTGAACCTGTGACCCCCTGATCCGAACACCAACGCACTAACCCACTGCGCCACACGCCTCCCCATCACCAGAGCATCATATGTTTGTAGCTTTTTTGCTGTCCTGTGAGAACCATGTAACTCTCGAATGACTAATAGTGTCAACATAGCTGCATTGATATGTTCAGGAGGTTCAGGAAAAGTTCAAGTCCTGTCATATAAAGCAGCAGATGTAGTAAATGGAAGTACTCAAGTAACAACCAAGTACCTAACAGCTGTATTGAAGTACAGTACTCAAACATGTTCTCAATTAGTTTTGAATGTTAAATGTTTAACTGTTCAAATAAATCAAGCCTGGACAAAAAAAAAAAGACCCTGCCAAAAACTGAAGAAGAAATGTGCTTGCCATTATACCGTTGAGCATCTTGCAGATAAAAAAACCTTGCGATTCAAAACCAGTTTGTGAGGAATTGAAGACGGGAAAAGACTGTACAGAGGGAGTTGTTTAGAAGGTGTTTGTGCACCTTGTTGACGCTCCTCTGCGCGGTGACGTTGAAGCGGTCCTGAGCCGAGGTGAAGCGCTCCACCTCTAGGATCTTAGCGGTGATCGGAGACGACAGGAAGACATTGGCCTCCGACTCTTTGAAGGCCACCATGTTGTAGATCGCCTTGAAAGGAAGACGCTCGGCTGCAGAAACACACCAGCAGATATAAAACCAGACAAAGACATGATGGAAGGTGAACGCCACGCTGAGAAAACACACTCACCTGAGAGGTGAGCGTCCGGGGTGTCAAACTCTCCATCCTCCAGGTCCAGCTCTCGGTCGTCCAGCTTATCCATGATGCCCGTCATGTCGTTGGCCACCAGCTGCAGGGTGCTGCTGGTCGGCTCGGACTGACGAAGCATGTTAGCACTCAGTGTGGAGCCCCGGGCTCACCTGGAGAGACAGGTAGGGAGGAGACCCTCAATAACAACCTGCATACTTATTGATACTTACAATGAAAGAAAAAACAGGCATTATTGGTCAATTATAATAAAGAGGGAGCTGGGTTCGGCTGGTGGGCAATTTAATCACCTGAAATCTGACTTGAATTTTACCTTTTTTACCTTTGGCATATCCCTTAAGCTCTCAAAAAGCAATATATACCTTTTGAGGATCATTATGGCTGCAAGTAAAACATCATTTTAAAATGCAGAGGAAAACCCCCTCCATTGCTTTTCCTATTAACATGACTCCAAAAGGAGAAGGTGGAAAAATAAAGGGGATTGTAATAAACATCTAGGAATGTCTTATTTCTTGTATAACCTCTTTTACATGCATTTATTTTCATTTATTATCTTTAATATTCACTGATAGTGCCGTGTTGTCCATGTCCTCACCTGTTCTATGTTAGAAAATTAAAATAAAAGTATTAAAGAAGTAAGATGGAGGAGAAAGTGTTAAACCAAAATCTTCCTCAATTTGAAGGACGATGTACATAACCCAGACACTCTCTTCTACTTGCTCTTCTACGGCTGGAGCATCTGCAGGAACTGAATAATAAGCGCTGCTTCTGCACTGGAACCATCACTAATGCAAAAACCAAGTTCCTCATCCATCATCAAATACATTCTTTTAATGCTCTCCACCTTTCTCCCCCGGCTCCCTACATCCAGCCACCATTTGTCGTTGCAGCCAGATCCAAACATCAGGAGAAGCAACGGAGAAGAACAGGAAGCAGAGAATCTGTCTAACCACATTCCTCTATACATGTGTCAGAGTGTGTGTGTGTGTGTGTGTGTGTGTGTGTGTGTGTGTGTGTGTGTGTGTGTGTGTGTGTGTGTGTGTGTGTGTGTGTGTGTGTGTGTGTGTGTAAGGTTGTTCAAGTGTGCGCTCAGGACCATAGATACCGGTTGCTTGGAATGTTTCACATGTAAATGTTTAACTTTTATTTTAAAATGATGACTCCAACAGCCAGAATATATAATGTGTAGTTCCACAGGTTTCATTCAAAATTGGGTTTGGGCGGAAGTCAGTAAACCTCTCTTTGTATGAGATGACTCAGTAAAAAAAACAATTACTATTTTGGTTCTGCGGAGAGTTAAGCTGCGGTTTCACTGTGGTCTGTCTGCTTTCACAAAGACACCAAAAGCAACTACAGCGGGAAATCAACAGCTCTGATCCCCACCAGGCCTGTAAAAGTGCCCTTGAGCAAGGCATTGAACCCCCACGTGCTTCTTTAAATAGCTACGAGCTGAGAATGCAGAATTGGCTCAAATAGGCTGGAATCAAATGTAAAAAAAAACTGTAATTTAAATTGAATTTTTCACAAAACAGCCAAGTGTCTCCTTCTGCTTGTACTGATTCATGTTTCTCTCAACTGACTGTGGATAAAAAGTGTCCCTTTAATGTTGCCCCCTCATCATTAAAACACCCCCATCATTAAAACGCTTTTGCCCCCCGATCATTAAAACACAGTTTTTTTAATTAAGCTTTGAAACGAGTTTATTTATTGTTCTTTTTTTAACTGAAAACAAGCCATAACTATTATTTTATACGTACCACTTTTAGAGGCCAGATTAGGCAAGATCACATTGGAAAATAAATTGTGCAGGTCCCAAGCCTTATTTGTAACTATTCTACAGTATAGATATATATTTGTTTCTCATCGGGTATTTAAGCAAATTCTATGCAACATTTACTGTTGTACAATAAAGGCAACACACACACAGAGAGAGAGAGAGAGAGAGAGAGAGAGAGAGAGAGAGAGAGAGAGAGAGAGAGAGAGAGAGAGAGAGAGAGTAGTCAGTAATATGCAAACAATGTATCCTGTGTGTGGCTGTTGTTTTGAGACTGTGTGGTAGAAACATTTTTGTGTGAGAGTGCATCATAGGTGTGTCTGCAGACGCCTGACAAAAGATCCCGGTGAACCAGTGATGCAGGGAGTTTAAAAATAAATGTAAGCCAGCAGAACCTGAAGAAACTGATCTTATAAAGATTAAAATAAAGCAGCTGGAGGAGGGCTGGCAAAAAACACTTCTCATATTCCCTGCTCATTTAAAGCAGCACAGCTTCAGTTACATTTTCTGCAGCTCTGTATAATTATACAGTCTTTTATCTGTGGGAGAATGTTGTTATCTGCAATAAAATAACAGGAACTTGACTTGTTCCCCACATTTGAATTAAATTTGAAAAGCATATTGTCTCTACTTCCTTCCACATAAACTAATAAAACCTGCATTGTTTACCTTACTGATAAGGATTATTTATCACATTTTATTCTTATATTCTTTGAAAGCATCAATGGTTAAACTTACAATATTGTCACAATATTAATATCAAGGTATTCAATCAAAAATGTTGATTTTCTCAATATTGCCCAGTCATAGTTACATTAAAGGTGGGGTAGGTCATTCACTTCAGAAACACTTTGTTATATTCAATGGAATGCTCTTTAATTTCATTTGTGGAAGCCGTAGCGCTGTAAAAAGCACGACCAATCATCTGAGCCGGCCCGGCTAAAATAACTGGATGGCCTACCTGCCTGTCAGCCTTCCATCTCATGCACAAACTTATCTCGTGCCCTNGTGTGAGTGTTAATGTTTGTACTTATGTGTGGATGTGTGTGTATGTGTGTGTTTGTGTGTTTGTGTGTGTGTGTTTGTGTGTGTGTGTGTGTGTGTGTGTGTGTGTGACCCACAAACTGACCTCCTCAACACACACACACACACACACACACAAACACACACACACAAACACACAAACACACACATACACACACATCCACACATAAGTACAAACATTAACACTCACACACACACACACACACACACACACACACACACACACACACACACACACACACACACACACACACACACACACACACACACACACACACAGGACCTGAGAGAAAGTATGGGCCCTGGCCCTTATACAAGAGGGGTTGAAAAGGGGGAATAGATGTTTTTTGAGGGGCAGGGACCTCTGCAAAGCCCTGCATCTCAAACAGCTTTGGTACCAGAACCTTTTCAGTCTCCTCGGCTGAAATTAAGCTGATTATAAGAACTTGACTCTGAATTACTCTTTGTTGAAATTGGATCAAGTAACCTTGATGTTTATTTCCATTCATTCAGTGTGATGATGCGTTATGCTCATATTTAGAATGGTGTTTCAAAGTGTCCACAATAAAGAAAGAGAAAACCAAAGTACCCTTTAGAAAGTCAAATGAATCAATACATTCACGGAGAAATATATTGTATCGTATATTTAAAATGGATGATGCAGTATAATGTAGTCTAGTGGAAATATAGAATAGAATCCTTTATTGTCATTATACAGTTATACAATGACATGAGTATGTGAAATGATTAATGTAAACACCACGTTAAAGCTTGAAAACCCAGATCTTTCCACCTGTGAGCTTTAAGTGAATGAAGTTCTTGTGCTGTTTTCAAAACACGTTGTAGTTCAGCTCTGGTTTACACTCACATGGACACTTTGAGCATGTAGTTGTTACACCATGGAGCACAGAAGTCCTCCACTGCCACCACACTGTCACTGCAGGTGTAGTCACGCTCGTAAACTGAGCAGGCAGCTTGTGAAAGTAAACTAAACAGTCTGAGAAACGACTAGAACCTTCCTCTGTGCTACTAAAAATAGGAAGATCTGTGTAATTGGTTTCACCTCTTCTGGCACTACAACATTTATTATTTATGTTTAAAGGCCAGTAGGTCTGCTGCTTTGCCATTTCATTTTCAACAACAGCTAAAGAAGAGCTGTTTTCATGAGTAATGATCTTCATGTCTACGAAAAATATTTAGTGCAAACTTGTTTAACTTCCCTTTCTCCCCCATGTGTCTCTCTGTCTCTATCCTGGGTGGTTTCTGATATAAATTATTTTAGTCAGTTGGCGGCTGAGTCTCAGCAGGTGGTCCACCCAATCCACCGTAACCCCCGGCAACCCCTGTCCAGCCAATCCAAGCGCTGCCCTGACTGCCACTCCGCTTAGTTAGCCCTGACAGGACCCTGTGTGTGTGTGTGTGTGTGTGTGTGTGTGTGTGTGTGTGTGTGTGTGTGTGTGTGTGTGTGTGTGTGTGTGTGTCGGTGGGTGGGTGGATGTGTGTGTGTGTTAGTAAAAGTACTCAGAGGAAGGGGCGTGCTCTTCGAGTGGTCATTAAAAGTTTATTAAAAAGTCTTCAACCGTTGGGAAATATCAGTGAGCATTGAAGCAGTTGTGTGTGTGTTTGTCTGATGTGTGTCCATACCCCAGAAACATAATAACAAATCTTACTTTCATCCAGTGTTTCCTGAAAAAGTCACTCTCTCTTTCACTCAACATGTCATTAGCCCATTGCTTTGTCTATCTGTTAAATGAAAGAGTTGTAGGCCCATTTTGTATGTTGTTCAGAGTCATTCTGGGAAATTTAGTGAGTCACTCCCTGAGGTAGTAGACAACTTTAAGAGGAAGCAGGTGCACCAAAGAGTCTATCGCACTTGATAAAAGGCTCTTTGGAGAGTAGAGACCTCGACCAAGGGTGTCTCCAAGTGTGTAAGCATCTTGTGATTCAGATCAGCTTCAGAATTATATTGTTTGGCCAACTACACCTTCCACCAAGTTTCATGTAAATTGGGTTGGTAGTTCTTAGCCATAATCTTGCTAACAAACTGAGCCGAAATGAACACCTCCTTCGCGTAGGTGATGACACTTGAATAGCGTTGCTGTTGACTAAGAATAGTAAATATTTAATGAGCATCATGATGCTGACTCAAATGATGTGCTAAAGGCATGAAGCACCCTGTACGTCAGAAAAAAAGAAGGGAGATATATTTAACCCTGATGCTACTTTTTCACTTTCTATGAATCAACATTTTTCGGCTAATTTTAAATAAATAATGTATTTCTCCTACCAGCCAGCATCTCATTTTAATAGGTGTACGTTTTCTTTGTACATCTGTGAAATTATTCTTCTACGTCATCAGTATTTC